GGCGCGCAGCCGGCTCTGGGCGCCGCAGGTACCTGCTGGGGCTATGGGAGCCGTGGGAGCCGGCACAAAGAGAGGGGACCCTGAGCCAGGTCCCGGCGGCCTGGGACCTCGCTCGTCGGGAGACGGAGGTTTTGCCTGCCGAAGGCAACCAAATTCCTGGGGCAGGGAAGAGGTTGCTCTTTGAAGTGTGTGTTAGAGCCTCGGGAAGCTGCGAGTTAGCACACTTCCTTAGACCTGTGGGAAATGAACCTGGGGATGAACCACTAACTTGAGAAGGAATGGCCTTGAGGCGGGAGCTACCACCCAAGGAATTCTCACGAAAGTAAATTAATGCAGACAGCCCCAGCTGCTTAACACCTGCAGGGCCATCCTAGGAAGAAAGTGAGAGCTGGTCTGTGCATTTTATTCAAGATCTGATACCGAGCCTCAGTTTCCTCTATGTGCTTGCAAATCCCCAGATGTTATTGTTCTTAGAGGGAAAAAATTTAGAGTCTATGCACGTGGCATTTTTCTATTCTGAATTTTATCTTAATATGGTGCACACAGCAAATTCTGGCCCATCTTGGGGAAAGGACAAACTTATTACCGTATTTAATTCCCTTAGTGACTCTGCAAAGCCAGTATTATTCTCTTCATTTTACAGATGGGGAAATTGAGGCCCAGAGGTGAACATTTCCAGGGGTCCCCAGCTAAGAAGTGGAAAATCCAAGATTCAGGCCTATCCTGACTGTAGCAGACTGAGGGAAAAGGCCATTTCCCCCTCACTTGGTTGTCCCAGAAACTAAATTTCTATTTTATTTATTTACTCATGTATGCGTGCATGTGTGCTGGGGATCCAACGCAGGGCCTCACATATGGGAGGCAAGTGCCTAACTACTGAGCTACATCCTCAGCTCCTTATACTCTTAGATCAGACTTTTTTATTAGCATATTATGTGGAATAAGGGGAAAATCGTTTTTTATATTTGGAGTCTTTGCAAGCCAGATAACTTTATTTGACCTCCTATTTGAAAATTCCTGATTGTTAATAGGTTTATGGAGCCTGAAGATCACTGGTCTGTTCTGAAACACCTGGGGTTTTGTTAAATTTGCAAATTCGCCATGGTTCCCACCCAGATTTGCTGAATGAGATTCTTAGGGGTGATACCTAGGAAACTGCAATTTAGCAAAAACATAGGGGTTTTTAATCACACTAAAGTGTTTTGGGTTTTGTTTTTTAAAGGTTGTTCAAAAGCCTATAAATCACATCTGAAAAAAAATTGTTGAGAGTTTGAAAGATTTATTATTTCTTTTTCTTGGTTTTAATGTAAAAAAGAAATTGAACCCTCTGGGTATACTCTGCTTGATGAGTAAGTGCTTGCTGGTACTTTGTGCTTTCAACTACCTCAATTAATAGAACTTTGAATCCTGGAAGAGAATATTGACCAGGGAATTATTAAGATTTGAAGCAAATAGGCCCCTGACCTTTTCTAGTGGAGATTCCATGCTAGGGAAGCAAAATGGCGTGTGACTAAGTACATAGGATTTGGATTTAAATATATTTAGGTCGTATTTCCAAAACTGCCATTTACTGGCTGCATAACCTCAGTGGTGTTGGTCAGCTTCTCAAAACCTAGGTTTTTAAATCTATTAAGTAGGAGTAATAATACCTGCTTTAAAGTTTTGGTGTGCACATGAAATGAACTCAGGGATATAGACTGTAAATTCATATGTGGTAGGAATTCAGTACATGCTCTCTCTTTCCAAAACCTTCTAGTCTTGCATTAAAAATGAATTTCTTTTCTAAACTTGTCATATTTGGCACCAAGAACCTATTTCTTTGAAGTTACAAAGAAAATGTAAAACAAGTCCATTAAGAATAAATTTTATGGCACCAGGAGTGTAGCTCACTGAAAACAGCACTTGCCTCATAAATGCAACACTGTAAAAATAGTGTCTACATCACAATTAATTTAGAACCATATTTTAGCATTGTGATGAAATGAGAGTTACACTTGAAATTATACCATTTATTCTACCAAAAACTAAAAGGATATTTCTTCAAGAAAGATATTTTTCTATTATGTCTGTTTAAACTTTGTTTTGAATATCATGTTTACAGAAAACTGCAATAATACAAAGTCTCCTTTATATTCTTTATTTAAAATCATCAGTATTTAATATTTTGCCATGTTTTTGTTTTTAATTCTTTGTCTTTCCCTTTTTTTTTTTTCTTCACAGTTATTTGAGAATAAATTGAATGTGTTATGCCTTTAGTATGAGGCTTCAGTACATATTGGTGTGTATTTTGTATGAACATGGGCACTCTCTTGTATGGCCACAGGAGATTTGCCACTTCAGGAAATTTTCAGCTGATGTAGTCGTTATTATTAGCATATTATTCATTTTTTTGTTTGTTTGCTTTGTGATGCTAGGGATTGAACCCAGAGATGCTCTGTCACTGAGAGGGACATCCTCAGCCTTTTTAAATTCATTTTGAGACAGGGTCTTGCTCTGTTGCCCAGCCTGGCCTTGTACTTTGCGATCCTCTTGTTTCAGTCTCCCAAGCTGTTGGGATTGCAGGAGTGCACTACCATTGTCCTAGTAGTGTCCTTTGTAGTGACTTTTTTCTTAAAATCAGCATCCAAGATAGAGTCAGGATATATTAAGCTGTCATCTCCTTAGCCTTGTTTTGTGGGAACTGTTCCTCAGGGGTATTTGTCTTTAATGACATTGCATTTTGAAGGACACAAATCCTCAATTTGAGTTTGATGTTTCTTCAAGACTTGTGTCAACTCATGCATTTGTGACTGGTATACTGCACAAGGGATATTGTATCGCTTCTAGACATGATGTGGAAGCACATGTGTGTTTGTCCCTTCTTGGTAATACTAGGTCATAGTATTTTCCATTTCTCTATTTTTTTTTCATTTTTATAATTAATATGTAAATTGTAATAAGCAATTTAAAAAACTATGCACATATTCTGATCATCATTCAGCCTCACCAGTAGCACCAGAATTGTCTGTCTGTTGGTGGTTTTTTTGTACCTGAACCAAATTTCCTCCTGATTTCTTCTGCTGTTTGTGGATTGATATTCTACCATAAGATTGTTTTCTCCTCTATTTATTTATGTACTTATCAGTGTGAAATTATGGATTTTTATTATTATTTTTTATTTATTTTATTTTTTGGTACTGGAACACTTAACCACAGAGCCACATTTCTAGCCCTTTTTAGTATTTTACCTACAGACAGGGTCTTACTGAGTTGTTGAGGCTGGCTTTGAACTTGGGATCCTCCTACCTTAGCCTCCCAAGCCACTGGAATTACAGGCGTATGCCCTGCTATGGATTTTTATTCTGTTCAGTGGATTATATTCTGTTGCTGTGCTGATTTAGGTTCATATTCAGATTGTGCCAGCCTGGGTCAGTGGGAGCCCCTTCCATCACGTCTTCCTTACTTTCTGCCACAGGATATTTCAGGCTCCTCTATAGCATTACCTGCCCCCTCCCTGAAATTAGCCATTTTTCCAAAGAACCCTGTTTCCTTTTAGTGGAGAAGGGATTTTAGAAACCAGAATCTAGCTGCATTCTTTTTTAAATATTAGAATCCCTAAATCCTTAAAGAAGGGTCAATAGGAAAGATTTCTTGAGAATAAAATCTGTGAAAGACACTATAGCTTCCCATAGTGGTTGGAACACTTGTGTTTTTGCTTCTCACAATCATATTCATACTTAAAATTATATTTACTTGCCAAATTTGCAGTTGTTTAAGTGGGTCTTAAGGAATTTGAAGGAAACTAAGTGGAGATCATTTCCCTGTTGAATTTTTTCAATTGTTTATTTTAGTTGTTGATGTGCATTTTAAATGAACAAATGCTGTCCCATCTTCATAAATAACTCATCCTGTACCTCTATGGAACAGGTAATTATAAGAGATAATAACAAGGTACATATTTGTTTACATTTTTAGAATCATGCAGTCTAGTTCTGCAAAAGTTCTTGTAATTAAAAATACCATCAAAGAACTTCATGTTTAGAATATTTTGTGTCTGTCTTCTAGGACATGTGAAGTAACCAAACCTGCTTTGAGTCTTGATTGATGTTTCAACAGGGAGACTCTAAGTTGTTAGGTTTTTTCCCTAACTTTTGGCTAATGTTGATTCACCATCATAGTGAATGATAAATGACAGGCCCAGCAATTACCAGATCTCAGATGGAGGATTCCTAATTTTTATCTTCCCATTGGCAAGTTGTCATTGTATGTTCCCTATAATATTCTTTTTAATGTGCAGTATTGATGTTTTTATTTTCTAGCTTGGTATTTTTACTGCTGAGGTCAGGGAGAAGGCCTTACAGCTTATTAAGTGAAAACAGTTTCTTTCTTTCTTTCTTTCCTTTCGATGGGGCTGGGGATGTGGCTCAAGCGGTACGTGCGGCCCGGGTTCGATCCTCAGCACCACATACAAACAAAGATGTTGTGTCCGCCGAAAACTAAAAAAAAAATATTAAAAAAAAAAAATTCTAGGGATTGAAGCCAAGGATGCTTAAACCATTAAGCCACATCCCCAGCCCCTTTTTATTTTGAGACAGGATCTCACTAAATTGAGGAGGCTGACCTTGAATTTGCAAATCTTTTGTCTGAGCCTCCTGAGCCGCTGAGATTACAGGTGTGCTCCATTGTACCTGGCTGAGTATGGTTCTCCATAAGGCCTGCACCCCTTTCCAGCCTCTTTCACAAAGAACTTGTAAATACTGTTTGTCCTCCTGAGTGAGCTGGCTCCTTTTTAGGACAGTCTAGAAATGGTATTACACAATCAGAATTCTCTGCAGGCATGGCTTGCTAAGCTCTCCATCCATTTGTATTTAGAACTGACACCTTCAGTCAGATTCCCTGATGATTGGCTAACAACAGAGAGAGATTTAACTCTCAAGGAATGCTTCTTCCCAACTTAAGCTATTGAAGAAGAGTCCTGCTTTCACACTCAGAACTTCTGAACAGTTCTCTTTTCCTTCTAGAAATGACACTCCTCTCCTCTCAGTCTTCTTCCCTGGTGGCTCCTTCTGGATCTGTGTCCACTGAAAACCCAGAACAGAGGATGTTGGAGAAGAGAGCCAAGGTGGTGGAAGAACTTCTTCAGACAGAAAGAGACTATATTCGGGACCTGGAAATGTGCATTGAGCGGATTATGATTCCCCTGCAGCAGGCACAGGTGGGAACTAATGGATACAATTAGCCTGGCTTTGAATGTTGTCCTCCAAACCTGAAGCATTAGGATGTGGGAGTTCTCACGACAGATTTATTGGGTTTGAAATAAAGTCTCTGATGGCTGTTGCACTATAATTATAGACTAAGGTGATGGTGGGGAAGGAGCAAAGAGTAGTTTGTATTATGACTTTTGATTGCTGTGACACAGTACCTGAGGTAAGCAACTTATAAGGAAGAAGGATTTATTTGGGTTCAGTCTCAGAGGTTTCTGTTCTTGATTAGCTGGCTCCACTGCCCTGGGACCTGTGGTGAGACAAAACATCATGGTGGGGAGAGCATGGTAGAACAGAGCTGCTCACCTCATGGCAGCCAGGAATCAGAGAGAAGAAAAGAAGGGGCCAGGGTCCCAGGATCCCTTTTAAGGGCATGTTCCCAGTGACCTGACTTCCTTCCACTAAGCCCTCCCTCTTAAAGATCCCCCACATCCCAATAGTGCTACAAGCTAGCAATCAGTCCTTTTAACACATGGCTCTCTTGGGGATACTCTACATCCAAACTGAAGCATAGTTGAATTGAGGATAAAGTGTGCCACTAAAGGTTGGAAGTCTCTGTCCTAGAAACTTTTTGGTGAAAGCAAGTAAAGACTATGACCTGGGCAAATTTTGTGTAATCCTTGAAGAGATGTTCCTAATATTAGTGATATGCCATTAATTTCATTTCCATGCATCTTTATACTTTATTTCCTTTTCTCAGGTACCAAACATCGATTTTGAAGGGCTTTTTGGAAATATGCCAATGGTGATTAAGGTCTCAAAACAATTATTAGCTGCCCTGGAAATCAGCAATGCTGTAGGTATGAGCTCCTGCCATTGTTTCATCGATGGGAGGTGGGGGGTGGGAAGGGGCCTTCCTGGTGCTAAACATTATGCTAGGAACGTGACATGTTACTTATTTAGTTCAGAGGTTACTTGACTGCTGCTTCTCCTTTAACCTCAGCTTGTTTTGAGGTGGTAAAGTATGTTAGTAATAGAAGTTTTAGATGTCATACAGTACGGTGTCTTTCAGACTGATGGTTGTGGCCCAGCCATTGTCCAGAACTGAGTCCCAATGTTCCTAAACTGATCACTGGAATGGGGCAAGGGGTCATGCTGTTGGGTTAGACTAGGCAGCATTTACCCAACTTACCTGGGGAAAAGTGGATATGGGAACAAAATGAGGGCTCTGTCCTCCTGAAGGAAGGGGGAAGTGGCTGAGGAATGTGAAGGACAGTGCAACCTTGTTAATGTTTCTTGAGTGTTTATCACACACTCCGCATCTCAAGATTGTCATACTGGATCTCAGTTCTCTACTCTTGAGTCTTGTTTTACAGATGAGGAAAGTGGAGGAAATTTGCCTGTGTATACATGGCTAGTAATCGATGGGCTGACATTCAGCTCAGGTCTTTGTCTTCCAAGTTCACACCACTAACCTCTGTGTCAGTCATAGAATACAGCTGTATGTCTGTCACTTTATAGAGGAGTAAAGAAACGGCAGCCTGGGGCCTTGCTGCTGGAGGCCAGAGAAAGGAGGAGCCAATGATGAGTTGACTAGAAAGAAGCCACGGTGACCCAGCTTTAATGTAATAATAAAGCATAAGGGCCAATTTATAAGATTTTATAAGTACCTATAATTCATTTATTTGAATTATAAAAGCAATGAGAGGGATTAATTATAATCAAATAATTACTCATTTTTCTTCTAGTTTGTTCTGTTACTTGTTGTCATGTTCAGCTTTCTCTACTAGTCCTAGTTAACCAGCTTCCTAGGGTGACTTTTCTCCTTTAGTCCCATTCACATCAAAGATGACTCAAGACTTTACAGTTTATAGCAAATGATTTGTTCTTACATAGGATGGACAGCAGGAGCAGGCTGAGGGCCTGGGCCAGATAGAGTCAGGGGTCAGAGGACCGCCTGACCAAGAGGCCCTCCGTTCAGACCCAGCTGAGCCTGGGGATTCTTCCCCCTTCTTCATACCTATGTTCATGACAGGTCAGTTGGCAGCTGTTTCTTTCACAAAGGGAGGGTAAGCTGTTCTTGTCAGGGCGAATTGAGGTGTAGGTTTGTGAGAGTTGCACCTGCACTGAGGTGGTCTTGCCTCTGGGAAATCCCCAGGCCAGGCTTCATCACACTGCTGGATGACACTTAGTATTTTTTCTTCTTCCCTTCATTTCTTGTCCTAAGTCAAACAAAGCTCAGGTGGCAGGCTTAGCTGTGTTGAGGCACAGAGGGAGAAGTGGTGGAGAATCGTGGAAATTGAATGGCTTAGCAGCCAGGCCAGGGTGGCCCTGCCTTACAGAGGGGCTGCAGGCAGGGCACATATGTGTGTGGGGGGTGAACACTGCAGTGTAGCTTTGGACTGTCACCCCAAAGGCCAGCCAGTTCCTGGGGAATGGTAAAGGACAGGATTTGATCATCTGATAAGTGCAGGGTCTGAAAAGGACAAGAAAGGCAAATTAAAGCTTTGTGAAACCATTAGCAAAGGTTTTACAGATTGATATGAATTATATAAGCAATTTTTTAAAAACTTAAGTTTAGTATATTTTTATTTTATTTTTAAGTGTCATTTATGTTAACATGAAACATTCCTTTTTTATTTAAGATATTTTTAAAATTTTTATTCTATGAAATATTCTTAATGTCTTGGGCAAATGTGTTTTTACAAACAGGATAAAAATAGAAAACCATAGTTAATTATCAGCATATTTAAAAATATATGGAAAAAAGATTAGAGATAAATATGGTAAAATAACAAAAGGTGGGAAGATCCGCAGATGGGAAGGAACTCTGAGCTGTAAGGAGAGCTGGGTGTCAGAGCCTGAATAAGGTGAGGAAAGTGTCCAGGCAGGAGATGGCAGCCAGTGTTCTGTGTGGAGTTCATGGAGGGTGAAGATGGTATGTCTGCATTAAAGATGCTTGACACAAAGTGTCCCAGGTTAAGCAAGGTCAGGAGGGCATCCATCCAGCTGTGACCCAAAGCAGGATGTCAGAGCCTGAGCTGGATGAGGAGAGCATCCCTGCAGAAGGCCCCCTGTGGGTGGGTTGGATCCCAGATGAAATGAGGAGGACCTCCACTCAGAAGGCAGCCCATGGCAGAATTAGAAGTATTCTATTCCCAGTACCTAGCACAAAGCAGGCACTGTGGTATGAATGTGGTTTGTCCCCCAAGATTCCTATGTTGAGAGTTTGGTCCCCAGGGTGATGATGTTGGGAGGTGAGATCTTTAAGAAGTGGGGCCTGAAGATAATCTGAAAGGTTTCAGAGGTTCAGTCCACAGTCAGCCAACTCCATCGCTCTTGGCCCAGGTTGAGGCAGAACATTGTGGCAAGAGGACTTGACAGAAGAAAGCTGCTTGCTTCACAGCAGCCAGGAAGCAGAGAGAGAGAGAGAGAGAGAGAAATATATTTTTAGTCTACTTTTTATTTTAATACATTTACATAACACAAAATTAGAAAGGTACAAAAACAAAACAAACAGAAAAAAAAAAACACCACTTAATGAAAAGCCTCCTCTCTGTTCCCAGCCACCCTGCTCTTCTCAACCAGAAGCCACCAGTTACTAGTGTCCTTAAGTCTCTTCCCAGAGACGGTTTATCACATACCATCAGTTGCACATTTCTCTACCCCAGTTCCTTAGCCCCATTTTTTACAGCCACACAAATGGCAGCACATAATGCAGACTGTCCTCTCCACAGTATATCTCCCAGCAGTTTATGTGACCCAGGCTGGGATTTTAAGTTATTTTAAACATTTTTTGGGGGGGTGTTTTACATAATGGCACAGGATACATGTTGTTTTACTATATGTGATGTTTTCTCATGTGTCCTTTTCCATTTTATTTCATTTAAAAAATGCTGATCTTGACTCATTAAGTAGATTTCATGGCCCATTTTTGGATCATGCACCCCTGGAGACTGGAGTGTAGCTCTGCTGGTTGGTGGTGATGTACAGTGAACAGAGGGTGTGACTGATATTAGTCGCCAGCAAGTGTGAGTTCTCAGATGCTGGTCAGGAATGGGATAGAAGGAAGAACGCAGAGGAAAAGGCAGGGAAATCCGGGATGGTGGGAATGAACACATTGGAGGCTCAGGAATTTCAAAGTCGCTCCAAAGATCAAAAAGTAGCAGCCTCACTCTCACTGCTGTGTCTGCTGAGTGCAGGAGGCGGAAGTGAGACTTCAGTGAGACGGGTGGCAGGTGGTAAGGTTGGCAGAAAACAATCCAGTTTCTCTTAGAGAAAGGAGCCATACATCAGGGAATAGATTTAACTTAAAGAAACCGATCTCTTCAAGAACAGGGAGTTCTGTGGGACACAACACAAGAACAAAGGTGACATTATAGAGAATGGGTTGGGGTCCCCTGAGGGAGGGTTATGCTCAGAGTCATGGGGGAAGCAGGAAGTAGGATCATATTTGAAGGAGGAGAACAAGGATGAGGTGTTTTCTTGTGGAGCACTGCAAGCTGAAGGTAGAAGGACGGAGAGTATTGACAGAAGGAACAGGGCAAGAGTAAGAATAATTTTAACAAGCCAGGGAATCAGCACACTCAGGAAGCAGCTATAAAAGAAACTTCTGTGTAGAAGTTTGGTTAGGAACCAGCTCTATATGCCCAACTGGCCATGGACCAGGAGCCTGTGAATAGATTTCAGAGTATATGGATTTGGTTAGAAAAAATTTTTTACAAATTTTGAGCTGAAATTTAACATGTATAAAGTGTGAACATAGGAACAACCATGAAGAATTAGCGATGTCTGTGACTGTTACCAAATGAGGTCAGGGGTTCATATCACATTAGATTGTTGCAATTATCTTAAAATTTCAGCAACACTTAACTAGAAGCAATGTTTCCTATGTCACTGAAAGTATGGTGATTGTCATGCTGATTGCTGTATTTTTTTGTTTAATGCTGTATAAAGAAGTACATGTGGGGCCGGGGTTTGTGGCTCAGTGGTAGAGCGCTTGCCTAACATGTGTGAGATACTGGGTTCAATTTTCAGCACCACATATAAATAAAAAAATAAAATAAAGATCCATTGACAACTGAAAAATATTTAAAAAAAAAGAAATACATGTGTTGTTTTACCACAGATTAGGGCTTTTTAAAACATTACAATATAATATAGTATAGCATAATAAATTGCACTTATCCTATGTTTTTAATTTATGCACAAATAAAAGTCAGAAACCACTGTTGTAGAAGGATTTCTTTGTCCTTGTGCAGATTTTCCTGGAGATTGGAGTGTGAGGGGATTCTTATAGGGTTCTGATCACACGCCCACATGGAGGATGCTTATAAATGCCTTACTGTACTTAAATGGACTTCAGGGAATAGCTGTGTGTGGGTTCTATAAAATAAATACATAAATAAGGTGGTTATCTACATTTTGCTTGGGCTCAGTGCAGTGGTACATGTCTATAATCCTAGCTACTTGGGAAGCTGAGGCAGGAGGATCACAAGTTCAAGGCCAGGCTGGGCAACTTAGTGAAACCCCATCTCAAAATAAAATAGAAAGGGCTGAGGATATAATTCAGTGGTAGAGCACTTCTGGGTTTAATCTATAGTTCTATAAAATGTTAATTCTGCTTTAAATGATTCCAACTTTAAGCTATTACATGGAAATGTATTAATTTGATGGATTGCCTCCTCAAGTCTTATAACAGGATTTAGCTGATGTTAAAATTTGGTGATACACTTTATGATAACGAGAAGAAAGTTACTGACATTGCTGTATGCCTCTGTGTACTCCAAAGGACCCGTGTTTCTTGACCACCGGGATGAACTTGAGGGAACATACAAGGTCTACTGCCAGAATCATGATGAGGCCATTTCACTGCTGGAAATCTATGAGAAGGATGAGAAGATCCAGAAGCATCTTCAGAACTCCTTGGCAGATCTCAAGTAGGATTTGACCACTTTGCTTCTATTGTTGTTGTAGCAGTCAGCCTATATTTGCCCAGACTTCTTATGAGACCTGTCTGTCATATCTTAAACAGGATCCATTAAATGACCTGCTTGCCCTTTTCTCATTATATACATGGAAATCTTAAAGGTTTCCTGATTGTATTTTTGGCCATTTAAATCACTTGTCCTCTGTACCAAGTATTAAGTCAACATTTTGGGTAGGAAGCAGCCAGGAATTAGAGCACTTACCTAGCATACATAAGGCCCAGGGTTCAATCCCCAGTGTTGGGGAAAATAAAGGAAGATGAAGAAAAAGGAAAAGCAGCACTCAAGAAGATAGTTTGGTCCAAATAAACAAGAACGTATAAGAACTAGGTGTGGTGGCATAACCCTGTAATCCCGGGAACAAGGAGGCTAAGGCAGGAGAATTGCAAATTCAAGGCCAGTTTCAGCAACTTAGTGAGATCCTATCTCAGAATAAAGAATAAAAAAAGCTGAGGATGTGGAGATGTGGCTCAGTGATTAAGTGTGCATAGGTTCAATGCTCAGTATTTAAAAAAAAATAAAAATAAAGAGCATATATGAGAAGACCAAATATACCTTCTTAGATAAGATTTTCCTGGTCTTAGGCAAGTTATAAATGTACAGATAAGTAGATCAAAGTGAAGATAGGGCCTTACTAACTTTAAGAGACTAGATATGCCACCATAGACATTCCTCATTTTCTTTTATCCCATGTAATTTTTTCCCAGTCTGTAGGTAAATTCTAAGAAGAATGAAAAAAATTAATGTCATCTCTAATAAGCTCTCTCTCTTTGTCCTCATGCCCGCTGCCCTGTAGGACCCTGTACAGTGAATGGTAAGTGCTCTTGCTACTTGATGTGTGAGCTCATTTTGTTGATTTTTTCCTAACCCTTCAAAGGGTGACTTTCTTTTATTTATTTTTATTTTTATTTTATTTGTTCTTTTTACATATACGTGACAGCAGAGTGTATTTTGACATATTTTACAAACATTCATACTTCCCATTCTTGTGGTTGTACATGATGTCGAGTTACACTGATCATGTATTCATATATGAACATAGGAAAGTTATGTCCAATTTACTCTATTGTCTTTTCTATTCCCATCCCCCCCTTCATTCCCCTTTTTCTAATTCAATGAACTTCTATTCTTCCCTCCTCCCCCTATTGTGTGTTAGCATCCACACATCAGAGAGAGCATTTGGCCTTTGGTTTTTGGGGATTGGCTTATTTCTCTAGTTCTGTCCATTTATTGGCAGATGCCATAATTTCATTCTTCTTTATGGCTGAGTAATATCCCATTATGTGTATGTACCACATTTTCTTTATCCATTCATTGGATGAAGGGCACCTAGGTTGGCTTCCATAGCTTAGCTATTGTGAATTGAGCTGCTCTAAACATTGATGTCACTGTAGTAAGCTGATTTTATGATTTTATGTTCTTTATGGATAGAAACCTAGAAGTAGACTTCCCTTGCCATATTTTTTCCATAGCACTTTTTATATTTATTTGTTTATTGCCTGTCTAATCCCTACATAGCAGGGACTTTTTTGATCACTGTTAAATTCCCAGTACCTAGAAGAACAGTACTTGGTATTTATCAGATGCCCAATAAGTAATCATAACAAACTTTCAATTAACAATAGACCATGTATACAATGGTGGACCCATATTGTCTGCGACACAGTCTTAGTCTGTGTAAGTGCTCTCTGTAATGTCTGCACAACAACAAAGATCCCTACCAACACGTTTCTTAGAACGTGGGCCAGTCATTGAGCAATGTATTTGTTGAATGAAGGACACTGGAAAGCAGAATAAAGGGACAGAGCCCTATTCAGGAATAACAGAATCCCGAGACACTGTATTATTGACAACTGACTGAAGTTCTTTTGCCTTCTTTACAGGGGATGCACCAATTATATTAACCTGGGCTCCTTCCTCATCAAACCAGTACAGAGAGTGATGCGCTACCCGCTGCTGCTAATAGAGCTGCTGAATTCCACTCCAGAATCCCACCCAGATAAAGTGCCTTTAACCAGCGCAGTCCTTGCTGTCAAAGAAATCAACGTTAACATTAATGAATATAAACGTCGAAAGGACCTGGGTAAGAACAGCTTTACTGCTGAAAAGTCGGTGTGCCCTGTGAGAATGCCTTCCTTCTTGAAAGAATTACTTCAGGGTTGGACAAGGCAGGTGATAGGTGTAATAGGGTTGTGGTAAAGAAAGGGTAGTAGAATTTGGAACAAATGTGATATCCGGGGGAAAAAATAGAGTAATAGTAAGAAAAGCACCTCTGTGGGCCATTGGAAATAAGGTGCCACTGACAAAGCAGCAAGCAGTGAGAGCCTTGACCCCAGACCAGGCAGACTGGACAGGGCTTGCCCAGGAGAGGTCTGCAGCACGCGCCTTTGCTCTGCTCATTTAGGGCGGTTCTCTTCAATCCCTGCTCAGATTGCTCTACACACGTAATTGGAGGTCTTAACTGCCTCCTGTAAACTTGGGACTTTTTAATCTTTTTTTAGAAAAACCTCAATCTGCCTGCCTCCCGGGGTCCCCTCATTCCTGCCCATCACGTTCCCTTCCAGCACCTTACCATCAGTTAACCAGACACCCCTCCTTCTAGATAGAAGAGAAATAATAGATCCGGTTCATTCCATGCTATCAATACTGAGGCCCTAATCACCATGCTACCGTAGCATGGTGATTGCTGGATTGACTTGTTTTCATATCCTTGGAGAATCCATAATGTAGTGTAACTGCTAACTAGTTACTAGTTTGTGTAACCTCTGCCCGTCTACTGCTCTCCACACTTTATCTAAAGTTATCTAAAATTGTTCCCTCTTCTACCTCGGTCACATCAACCATATTCATATGTGATGCTGACTGGCTTTGAGAGCTCTCCACCATGGAGCCCTTTCTCTTGATTCTGTCTCCTGATGTGATGTAGTCTTCGTTTTCTACAACAGTGTCCTTTCTACTCCCATCCAGTCTTTCCCCTGAAATCCTTCTGTTGGTATCTCTAGGCATTTCTGCAGATCGTGCCTGACATACGACACTGTTAATCAGGTAACTAATGTATACCATTTAACTATGTGAGATCACTGGATATAAAGATCTCATTTGTATATGAGACTATAATTTAGTGGAATTATAGGGCTCAAAATTGCTATTACTTTCTGCATTTTATTGCAGAGGAAAATGAGGCTCAAAAAAGTAAAACCACCTCCTTAAGGCCATACCTTGGTTAAGTGACAGAGCCAGGCACCAGATTCAGATATTTCCCTGACTCCAGCTTTTGGTTCTTTCCCTCGTCCCTCTGCCCCTCTCCTCTTCCTCTTGAGCTCTTCTCCCAGCTGCCCACAGCCTCTCTCTGCTGTTCTTCAGGTATTGAATCTGTTCATAAATGATTATTTGGATTAATATTTTGTCTACTCAGCTGTAAGCTCTTTGACAAACACTAGCTCCAGTTTGAGTTGTTATTTCCATCTTATATTAGTTTTGGGGAAAATGTGCATGTTTTCAGGTTGTTAGGTTCATTTAATCAGGCTCAGGAACGTGCTTTTTTGACTGACCGCCTTGACTCGACCCCTAGTGCTCAAGTACCGGAAGGGTGATGAAGATAGCCTCATGGAGAAAATTTCCAAGCTGAACATCCACTCCATTATCAAGAAATCCAACCGAGTCAGCAGTCACCTGAAGCACCTCACTGGCTTTGCTCCCCAGGTGAGATCCCTGCCCCTGAAGGCACAGTGCATCTGACAGCTTTTCAGGGCTCCATGGGGCAGCTGACTGCTGTCAATGGGTACAGTTCCCTTCTTGCTCCCTCCTCTGGTTTTGTAGCCAGTGGAAGCAGGGCCCCTGCAGCTACTGATGAAGTGAATCCAACCCCTCAACCCTCCATTTGTTCCTTGGTGCGCCACTTACAATATACACAAAGGCAAATTAGAAGGCCAGATCAGCTGGCATATAATAATTATTGTGGTTTTTAAAGCCTCTAAGGAACCTGTAATCTCTCTGGGGAGGCAAATCTAAAATTGTAGACATATTAAGCTACAAAGGATTCAAGAGATCACTTAGTTGGATACCCTGTGCTACCAATAAGAACACAAAAGGTAGGAGATTGCATGACTTGAAATGCAGTTTAGCAACAGTGCAGAGAGCAGATCTGAAGTCTCTAGTCTTCATTCTATTATATCAAATATTCAGGATAACAATTAGAAGAAAGTACAAGCCAGAAAATATTCAGTTGCTAAGTTTTACACTTATCCCCCAATGTCAGTAATACTTTGAAAAACGAAAATTTCAACAAGTGAGCTTCTTCTTGGCCCAAAAGTTCATCTGAGCTTTAATGGGAGTGGGGCAGGTTTGACCTAGGGAGAGGACAGGGCCTACCAGGCAGGGAGAGCCCCTCAAGAAAAGGCCTTGGGTCAGCAGGTGTGGCAGGGCCAGGGGATGGTGAAGAGGGGAGGCTAGAGATAGGAGGGCCCATGTGTATTTTAGAGGTCTTTCAAGCCACACAGAGGTGTTTAAATTCACTTTAGTATGATTCAGGAGAACATTAAAGTCTTGATATTTATTTATTTATTTTTTAGTTTTCAGTGGACACAACATCTTTGTTTTTGTATGTGGTGCCGAGGATCGAACCCGGGCCGCACGCATGCCAGGCGAGCGCGCTACCGCTTGAGCCACATCCCCAGCCCAAGTCTTAATATTTAAATGAAAGATGTGCCTAAGAAAGACAATTTTGACAGTAAGATAGACTGAGAGAAGGTCCCAATTTCCTAACAGCACTTGTTTATTTTGAACAGATAAAAGATGAAGTATTTGAAGAAACAGAAAAGAATTTCCGAATGCAAGAAAGATTGATTAAATCTTTTATTCGAGACCTCTCTCTCTACCTCCAGCATATCCGGGTAAGTATCAGCATCGCTCTAGTTAGAAATTCTGTCTACTTTCTTGTTCATGGAGCATATTGTTCAATGAAAGTTAAGAAATCTAGACTCACCATTTTGACATGATGTGCTTATTTTTAGTTGTTGATAGCACCATGTATAAATAAATAAAAGGTCTAAGAATTGAATCCAGTGCCTCTCACTTGCCAGGCAAGTGTGCTACCTCTGAGCCCCAGCCCCAAGATGTGCTTTTCATTGGAAAGCCTGTAGGTTATTTAAAAATAATCCAATGTTTACAAGATCAGCACTGTTGCATTAATTTTATTTACTTTTATTGGTACATCATAATTATAAAATAGTAGGATTCTTTACAATATACTCATATGTGCACGTAACATATTTGGTCAGTTTTATTGCCTGGTACCTCCCCTTTCCCTCTTTTCTCTCCCCACTCATCCCTTTTTTACTCTCTAGCATCCACTTATGAGAGAAAACATAATTTATGACTTCCTGAGTATGGCTTATTTTACTTAACATGGTGTTCTTTAGTTCCATCCATTTTCCTGTAGATGACATGATTTCATTTTTCATGGCTGTATAAAAATGCATTGGGTATATATACCAAATTTTCTTTATCCATCCGTATGTTGATGGGCATCTAGGCTGGATCCATAACTCAGCTTTTATGGATTGTGTTGCTATAAAACATGGCTTCTTAGATTGGTGTCATGTAGAAAGGCCTTTCCTATCCCAAGATCAAAAAATATCTCCTGTGCTTTTTTGTGCCATTATTTTAAGTTTAAATCATTGATCTAGCTGGAATTTATTTTAGTTACAAGGTCTGATGTGGGCATCCAGCATTGTTTTCCAGATCTTTCATTTTTTATTGAGTGTGCCCACTGATCTGAAATAACTCCCTTTAGGTTTAAAAAAAAAAATGTAATTAGGTCTAAACTAAGGCTTATAAAACTTTCCAGGACACATTAGCTTAAAGTGAGATTTGACAAGAACAATATTAGGGCAGCTACCAAGTATGTTCCCTTGCCTTACAGATTCTTGGGTTATTGCCTAATTTTGATGAGTCTATAGCAAATTCAAGCCTGAACCCCCAACTTAGAAGGCATTTTCATAGTAATGGATGATAGTATTTTGAGGTAGAATAGCCATTCAGTGGACAGCACAATTTGGTTTTGACCACAATGGCAGAAATTGAAGAGAGAACATGTAAAACAATTTTGTCACTTACATAAAATGAAAAGTCCTGCCGAATAATAAAATTAGGTAGATTGGCTGATAGAGAGCCTGGAAGAACTAAAATTCATTGACCATATAATTTGGTATCTATATTGGCATATGGCCTGATATTTGGGGACTTTATAATACTTTTCTAAAAGAAAAAAGGGCATCATGTTTTACATTAGTTCTGAATTGAAGAGGAATTAGGAGGATTCCCCCAGCAAAGTACTGGATTTATTTATGGGTATAGATATAGGACAAAAAGACAAAAGATCTAAAAAATATTATAAAATATCAAACCAATGTATGAGTAATTGATAGGCTTTGATACTGATCAGTTTACTTTGTTTATCCCTGAAATACCCTCATGGAGTTGTTAGTACTTTTAGATTTTGAGTTAATTTAATAGGCATCCCTAAACATAATAAAGAAGGCAAAGCCAGGTATGGGAATGATGACCCACGCTTGTAATCTTAGCAGCTCGGGAGGCTGAGTCAGGAGGATCTCAAGTTTAAAGCTAGCCTCAGCAATTTAGTGAGGCCCTATCTCAAAATAAAAGAGGGCTGGGGAGGCGGCTTAGTGGTTAAGCAGCCCTGTATTCAATCCCCAGTACCAAAAAATAAAAAAAATAAGAATTCAGAATGCAAAGCCCAACATTGTGCCAGGCAGTCAAAGAAAACTAGCCTTGGACTCAAACTGTCTTGACTTAGTGGGGAGGGAGATGGAGACAATTAGCAAGCATTCATATTTTTTGCAGCGACAGGAAGAAGCAGAGTGAAAATCATCAGAGGAATTGAAGTCAGAGTAGGGGAAGCAGGACAGAGGGGAGGGGAGGGGAGGGGAGGGGAGGTCGGGGCAGTCATTCCTGAGAAGGTGAAGCCAGAGCCAGGACTCCAGGAGGGGAGGTGATTGATCATCAGTTCTGTAGGAATCATCTTGGTTCTAATTTTTATTTACTTTTTTGGTGAATTAAGAAAGCCTGTCATCTAGAGGGCACAGAAAAATGTTAGGCTCTTTAAACCTCGCCAGTTTTTCTGTAACCAGAAGTCTTAGCTTCTTTGTGTGCCCCATAAATGTTTATAAAATTATGCTCGTTTCAAAGTTGAAATAGTATACTAGTGAAGAGAGTTTGCATGATGGAACCCTTTGTTTCAGACTTCTGTACAGGATGAGTGATGAAGGCTAGAAAATTCTGTGTATTCTTGTGTCTCTAACTGGCTCCAGGAATCAGCTTGTGTGAAAGTGGTGGCTGCCGTGAGCATGTGGGACCTGTGCATGGAGAGGGGACACCGCGACCTGGAGCAGTTTGAGAAGGTGCATCGCTACATCAGTGACCAGCTCTTTACAAATTTTGTAAGTGGCTCTATTCAGCCTATTTCTTGTAGCTGGGTCATCTCAAATGTCAGTTCATGCAACAGTTAATTCCGCCCGTCAGTTATGTTCATATTAACTTTATATTCAGAATATGACCGAGTTTGGGGGACAGGTAGGGCCTGTGTGTATTCAATGGATTTTTTTTTTTTTTTTTGTGATCAAGTTAGTTTCAGAGGGCAAACTAGGAAAGGAAAATTAGGAAATTTAATCTGGCATTACTGGTAATTCTGATTAAAAGATAATTATTTCTAAATATTCCTTTCAAGTTAAAATGTTAACAAGTAGATCTTTATAAAGTATAAGCCATTTTCTGAAGAAAGGGCCAAATTGCTTGGGAACTTCTAAACAGATGTATATGGGATTAATTGCACATCACAGGTACAAAAAAAAAAGAATTGGGTGGGGGCTGGAGTTGTGGCTAGTGATGGAGTACTTGCCTGCAATGTGTGAGGCCCTGGGTTTGATCCTCAGCACCATGTAAAAATAAAGAAATAAAATAGAATAAAAGATCCATTGACAACTAAAAAAAGAATTGGGTGGGATGAGTTTCTTGGAGTTCTCTGCATAGCTGAAGGAAAACAGGGAAGCACATTTGGGAAATTCACAGGTGTTCTAACAGTAAATTACTTTTAATGAGATGCTACTAAGTACCTTTTTATGTTCTTTTATCTGTTTAATACCCTACCCTCAATGTTTGTCCTTCTAAAAAGAAAAGAAAAATCATTTGAAAAGAAAAAACAGATATTATCAAGTAGTTATGTGAAAATTACTCTGCCCCACCCCACCCCCCCCAAAAAAAAAAAATCAAGCTGTATGAACAACACATAACAAATGTTATCCAGTAGACTATCAGGTCTCATTTAAAAAAAAAAAAAATAAGTTGTAGAGAACATAATACCTTTATTTTATGTGTTTATGAGGATCAAACCCAGTCTCTCACATGTGCTAGGCAGATGCTTTACCACTGAGCCACATCCCCAGCCTATCACATCTCGTTTCTAATGCAAAAATATCCACGTGCAGTTTAGCATGCATCAACTGAGGAGCTAAAGTGGGATTAGCATCCTTTGCAAAAATACCTTGATGTTTGAGAGTTGTTGGTGATGTGTATGCTGAGATTTTATGGAATCTGTTAGTGGGGCCCAGCTGCAGGTCTGCGTGGGGTCAGCTTGTGTCCACTGTGGACAAAGCAGCTGGTACAGGCACGACAATGTCAGCCTCACAGGTGTTTTGGAGACTCGGAAAGAAAGGGTTCTGAACAATGTGCCTTTCTTGTCCCTACAGAAGGAGAGGACAGAGCGGCTTGTCATCTCTCCCTTGAATCAGTTACTGAGCATGTTTACAGGGCCTCACAAGTTGGTACAGAAGCGCTTTGACAAGCTTCTGGACTTCTACAACTGCACAGAACGGGCAGAGAAGTTAAAGGACAAGAAGACCCTGGAGGAGCTCCAGTCTGCCCGGAACAACTACGAGGCCTTGAATGCACAGCTGCTGGACGAGCTGCCCAAGTTCCAGCAGTACGCCCAGGGCCTCTTCACCAACTGCATCCATGGCTACGCCGAAGCCCACTGCGACTTTGTGCAACAGGCGCTGGAACAGTTGCAGCCGCTCCTTTCAGTGAGTCCCTTACCCTCTGTGGGAAAGCCATCTCTGAAGTTCTGGGGCTTTTCTGAGAGCGCACAGTGGGGTTTTTCAAAAGGTTATCCGAACTAGCGGGATTCAGTGTGACGTTCAGTCCAGCCCTTCAGAAATTCTTGATCGTGCCCTGAATGAAACCTGGGGCTTTTAAAACTTTCTTCATCTTGAGCAATCCCCAGATGTGCTGCCACCCAGGCGGCGCTGCAGAGCACCTCCTCTTATGTTGTCTGCGGTTGGTAGCTCACACCGCAGCTTCCAGTTGGTTCTAAAGAGGCTCTGTTGATCCCAGGGATCTTTCCTCCCTATTCTCTCATTTCCTGTCTCATCTCTTTCCATCGACTCCAGTTACTCAAAGTTGCCGGCAGAGAGGGGAACCTGATCGCTATCTTCCATGAGGAGCACAGCAGGGTTATGCAGCAACTCCAGGTCTTCACCTTCTTCCCAGAGTCTCTCCCAGTTACCAAAAAGCCTTTTGAGAGGAAAACGACAGACCGCCAGTCAGCTCGAAAGCCCCTCCTGGGCCTGGTGAGTATGGACTGAGAGGTAGCACAGCCTTGGGGTTAAGAGTATGAACTCCAAATGGGCATAGTGGCAAACCCCTGCTATTCCAGCTACTCAGAAGGCTGAGGCAAAAGGATCACAAGTTCAAGGCCAGCTTGGGCAACTTAGTGAGACCCTGTCTCAAAATAACAATTTTAAAAAGGCTGGGGTAGCTCAGCAGTAGAGAGCCTGTCTAGCATGTGTGAGGCCCTGTATTCAATTCCTGGGACGGGGGTGGGGAGAATGGAGTGTGAACTCCAGAGCTGGACCACCTGGGTTCATCAGGATGGATGCTTACCCACTGTCCTTGAGCATGTTGCTTCTGTTCTAGGCCTTGGTTCCTCATCTCTAGACATTGATGATGACTGTACCTACATCATAGGGTTCTCACAGGCTAAAATGAGTTATTGGAAAGCACTTAGAAAATGCCTGGCATGCCGAATGAGGTGGTGCACACCTGTATTCCCAGTGGCTTGGGAGGCTGAGGCAGGAGGATTATGAGTTCAAAGCCAGCCTCAGCAACTTAGCAAGGCTAAGCAACTCAAGGAGGCCCTATCTCTAAATATATAAAAACGTACTGGGAGTGTGGCTTAATGGGTTCAATCCCCAGTACCAAAAAAGAAAAGAAAATCCCTAGCATATAATAAGTGTTATGCAAGTATCATATCATCCTCCTCATCAGTGTTGGTGGACGTGGCTGTGTCTTTATAGGTGATTAGTTTATATTGGGCATCATCTGTCACTGGCTCATGCCTTCATTTTTCCTGAGCATCAGCACTGTGCCTCCTGGTACCTGATAATAGCCATCTGTAGTTTCCTCACACCTGATATGAATGTCAAGCTTGGCTCTTAGTGAAGTATTAATACATTGATTGAAGGGTATATTCTGCTAGGCCTGCCAATTTTTGATTGTGAGTTAGAAAGGTATTTTGGCCAGTTAATCACCAACTGCTTTTATAACTCAGTTCTTCCATATTTTAAACATTAGGGTAAGGAATAACAGATTAACAGATTATATGGGCTCATAATCTAAAAATATCATTAGCAAAGGCATAGCAGCATATTTTTGCTCTTTATAATCCCATAGATTTTTAGATTACCTTAAAAGGGAAAACCAAATTTATTATTACCTTTAGTTTTTCTTTTTATGACTGTTACTTGTTTTTGATGGTAAAGTCAAGATAGAGAAACTCAATTATTTAGATGCATCTAGCAAATTATAAGACAACCCAGTGATATTACTTAGGCATTTTGATTTTTTCTTAACTACAAAGGTGCCAAAGCATTACGAAGAGGCCATGAGTTTTGCCTAGCTACACGGGCTTACTCAGTTATGAAAGCATCTGATGGGGTGGTGAGCGGTTGATGGTTAGTGCCTCCCTTCTCAGACTCTGCAAGATGAGATTAAATATGGCTGCTAGGGTAATGGCCAGGCAGGGCTTCTTGTTGATGTGTCTCTTCTGTTGCCTTTCAGCCAAGTTACATGCTACAGTCAGAAGAACTCAGAGCCTCCCTGCTGGCAAGGTATCCCCCCGAGAAACTCTTCCAGGCAGAACGGAACTTCAATGCTGCTCAGGACTTAGATGTCTCACTTTTGGAAGGTGACCTGGTGGGTGTGATCAAAAAGAAAGACCCCATGGGCAGTCAGAACCGTTGGCTGATTGACAATGGAGGTAAGCATTTTGGATATCAGATGAAAGGAACTAAAGTAGGAAAACAACCCGAAAAGTCCTCTTCAGCTCTGGAGAATAGTTACCAAAACAAAACCAACCTGTTTTGGTTCTGTTTTGACAAATTCCAGAAGAGGTTCCGTGACTTATCTTGCAAGATCTTGTCCAGACAGTGGGGCTACCTGGTGGAGCCCCGTTGCAAGCCTCAGGATAAGCTGCCTTCTCCACTTTCTGTAAATTTACCTTTGTGTGTAGATTAGAAACCTGTGGGTTTTGTTTACTTTTAAAATTTTTCTCCCCCAAAAAAAAAAAAATTTTTTTCTCCCTATAAACAATTTTACTTTATAACTATTTAGGAAATGACTTTTAAAACAACTCAAGGGGGGGCGGTTCAGAATTCAAATAAGATTACAAATAACATTAGTCTATCATCCTTTTTCCTTGATTCCAAAATCCAAAAAGCTTTGAAAAATAAAAGTATTTTTAGTAACTTTTTGCCAAATTCTGAACAAAGCAATGTGTGACTAATTATAATCCTAGTTTAACATTGTTGCTGTGGAGAGTTTAAGCATTGTGTGCCCTCTCGGACAGGAGGGCAGGCCCTTGTAAAAGTGAGCTTATGCTGTACGTGTGCTCTGTGTATTTGAACTCCCGTGAACACCTTTCTACTGAACAATACTCACAGTATCCCAAATCATTTCTTTCTTTTTTTTTTTTTTTTTAATGGTATTGGGGATTGAACTCAGGGGTGCTCTCTACTATATCCCCAGCCTTTTTTAGTTTTTTATTTTGAGGTAGTGTTTTGTTAAGTTGCTGAGGCTGGCTTCGAACTTGTAATGAGGTCTTGTATGAGGAGCTCCTCAACACAAGGATGGTCTTCAGATCCATCTTTGCCACATGTAGTATTATTGAACATACACTCTGCAGAGTCTTTTCCTTAGCCATGGTCTAGATGATCTACTGAATTCTTTGTATGCCCAGTCTCAAACATGTAGTTTTGTTTTTGGGTTTTTTTGTTTTGTGTGTGTGTGTGTGTGTGTTTGGTACAGGGGTTTTACCCAGGGGCACTTAAAAAAAAAAAGACTGGGAATGTGGCTGTGGTTTTTTTTTTTTTTTTATTGCTTAGGGCCTCACTAAGTTGCTGAGGCTGGTTTTGAACTCAGTCCTCCTGCTTCAGCCTCCCAAAAGCTGCTGGAATTATAGGCATGTGCCACCAAGCCCAGCATTTTTTAATTACTAGCCTCTCCATTGTCCACAGGCCTCCTATTACTCCTGTTATAAGATTGTGACAAGAATGAATTGACAGGTAGCCATAGCTTTTCATTCTATCCATGCCCCTTGGATCCTGGGATTGAATATTCTGGTCTGTTTTGTCACTAGGCATCTTATTTTGTTGCTACCATCAACCTAGCTTTTAAACCAGTTTCTCACTGTTGGTTCCCTGCTTTTTGCCTCCCTCTGCCTTCTGCTACATCTGCAGTCACCAAAGGCTTTGTGTACAGCTCCTTCTTGAGGCCGTACAATGCTCGACGCTCAGATGCCTCTGTGGGCAGCCACTCCTCCACTGAGTCAGAGCACAGTGGCTCCTCCCCAAGATTCCCACGACAGAATAGCAACAGCACCTTAACCTTCAATCCCAGCAGCATGGCCGTGTCCTTTACATCTGGGCCTTGCCCAAAGCAGCCTCAAGATGCATCTTTGTTGAAGGAGTATGACCAAGGAATTCTCAGTGCATCCTTGAACCTGAGCAGTCCAGAGAGTGGCCTTTCCAGGTGCCCTTCAGATCCAGACCCCACCTGCCAGCCCAGGCCAGGGGACTCTGTCGATGCGGCCAGAGATATAAACCAACCTGCTGCCGCCCTGAGGAGCTGCTGCCGAAGCTCAAGGCATCCAGAGGTGGTTGGTTCCTCTGTACCAGGACGAAATGGGCAAGGTAGAGACCTTGTAAAAGGATGTACACGAGCAGCCCAGGCTCTGGAAGATAGAAATGAAGAGCCAGAGAGCAGTGAGGCAAAGGGCAACCAGGTAAGTTACCCCAGTGGGAGTGGGCACAGGAGACGTGGAGGCAGAAGCCTGCCCAGACCTGGGAGTGATCCGAGAGCCCACAGATCTTACCCAGCTCGCAGGAACCTCTCTGCCTTACCACTGAGACCTTTTGTGATAGCAAAAGGGGTCCAGAGAGCGCCTGAGAACTATCACTGGGCAGTAAAAAGGTGTCCTGATGAAACCTTTTTTCACTCTTTCAGTTCTAAGCTCTTCCAGCTTACTAGTTGTTCTTATGTTGTATAAAGCTTGCTATTTAACCTACTTTTGTTTTTTTGGTTCAAAAAAAAAGTGTTTTATGTGTAGAATTTAGAAATGAAATTCCAGCACTACTTGAGTTTTTTTTCCTATTTTTGTAATGACCTGTCCCTGTCTTGTAAATTTGAGTAGAGCCTTTATATCTTGCACTTTTTAAACGCACTTTTTTTTTTTTTTTAAGAAAAAAAAAAAAAAGCTGTTTCAGATTCACAACTGGGAGATCTCTGGTTCTGGTTAAGTTCTTTGATTTTCTTTGAATCTGCCTTGTTCACTATGGGATCCTCCAGCCATGTATCTAAAGTTAAAAATTAATCTAAAGTTAAAAATTAAGATTAAAAATTCAATTCTCTGTCTCACTGGCCACATTTAAGTGTTCAGTAGCCAAATGCAGCTACAGAAACACCCCTACCGCCCACCCCCAGCACGTTCCATGGACAGCACGCTCCATTTCTAACTCACACTCTCCCCCCCCCCGCACAGGTCTATTTTGCTGTCTACACCTTCAAGGCACGAAACCCAAATGAGTTGAGTGTGTCAGCCAATCAGAGACTCAGAATCCTGGAGTTCAAAGATGTCACAGGCAATACAGAGTGGTGGTTAGCTGAAATTAACGGGAAGAAAGGCTATGTCCCATCCAACTATATCCGCAAAGCCGAGTACACCTGATCCTGGTGTGCCTGCCGCTCAACCCTGCTGCCTTGGCTTTCAGTCTGCTGAAAGGTTCTGGTGGGCCGCCAAGAGGCACCTGCGCCCAAGACCCAGGCCCTGCCACATTGCTTAGCCATGCATGGTAGGGCACAAGACAAGTCTTGTTCTCCTTGATTGGGTTGTAAACCTTGATGCTCACTAGAATTTCTAGAGTTTGAAATGGACCCTGGGGCTTGCCAGTGATTCAGTGACCATGAGAAGAGAGGCAAGTGCAGGGGTCGGCCTTTGGAAGTGAGAAATTTCCAGTCAGAAGACCAGTGTTCTGTATATGCAGGAAGCTGTGCTGGCATCGGTTGTAACCTACTGAGTCTGGGGTGGCCCCGTGCTCCACGATCACCTGACCTGAAGCTGTGACTTGGATGAAGTAAAGCCAGGCTCTCTGAGCCCCTTTAGGTTGTGATTCTGCTGGTGGCAAGGAGCTTGTCAGGATTGCACAGAGCCTGGTGTTTCAACGCTTCCGAGACACCTCCAGTGTCTAGCACACATTTTCTGTCTCTCTTCATACACAAATACCCCCAATTTACAAAGCCGCTAAAATACAGTGTTTTGTTTCACTGTGTTCCGAAATTGGTTATACAAAACTCAACCGCTTTCTTCTACCAATAAGTATTAAAGGTCTTTATTTTCCTTTCATCTGGAAGTTCCTCCCTTGCTAGATGCATCTGTGTATGCCGTCTCGTGGCCACCTCTCCCTGTACTGAGTAACCGATAGAATTCTCTAGAATAACAGGGTCAGAGCTCCAGTCATCCATTAAAAGTATTGGTTCTATATTAATCTCAAACCAGTCAGGCCTGGTGGAAGATTAGGTGCCTTTTTCCTTCAAAGTACACTACCACCATTTGGTTATATCTGCAGATGCAGAAGACAGTCCATGGGACTTAGGAGTCAGGATACACGGTCCCAGAAGTAGCTCATCCTAGATTAGTTTCACCACTAACCTCCATACTTCAGAGACAATATTGAAAGTCAAACAGATTCCAAAGTGCCTGTCAAGACCCCCCGCCCACCCAGTCACAGGAAGATTCTTGCTAATCCCTTACCCTAATAATCTGTCCCTAAAAATCCTGTTTTAGCAGAGCTCCTGTACTTGAGATCTTCCCTAGATACGAAGCCTAGCTTGGAATTTGAAACTGAAATTTGTTTAAGAAAAGGAATTAAAAACAGCCTCACAGCCACTACTCCTCCAACCACACATTTGGCCTTAAAATCCTGGTGAATCAGGAGACCCCATGGACTCCTTGGCCACAGCATCTGCTGGTGTCGGGCAATAATGCAAGGTCTCCTGTGAAAAGTGTTTATATTTGGAGATGTCTATATTTAAGTAGTTATTTTCTAAATAAAAGCTTTTCTAATGGCCATGAGTATGTTTTCTTGATTTCCTTCCATATTTAAGCTGAACATTTTTCTCAAGTTTATCTGGTCAAATAGTTCAACAATTTCCGTTGCTGCAGGTGGTTCCCTAAAGCCATCCTTTACTGTCAGCGCTAGCAGGATAGGAAAGCTGAAATCCTAAGGGATGAAATGTTTCTAATATTTCAGGTTTGGGTATACTAGATACAACAGAGATTAACAAGGTCACACAGTAGCAGTTCAGGCAAGGTTGGGGGCAGAGGAGGAGGAGTGGTAGCAGAGAGATTGAGGACAGAAGAGTGACAAAGCAATTGCCTCACTTGCTTTTCTTCCTTACAACCGGGAATTGAACCCAGGAGTCTTGTAAGCTAGACAAGCACTCCACCACTGAGCTGCATCCCCAGCCCTTTTTATTTTTTTGAGACAGGATCTCACTAAATTGGCCAGGCTGACCTTGAACTTGTGATCCTTCTGCCTCAGTCTCCCGAGTAACTGGGATTACTCTGCTCGACATTGATATTGAGCAATAGAAAATGTAACTGCAGGAGCTGGGGATGTGGCTCAAGTGGTAGCGGCGCTTGCCTGGCATGCATGAGGCACTGGGTTTGATTCTCAGCACCACATAAAAATAAAAATAAAGATATTGTGTCCACCTAAAACCAAAAAATAAAATATATTTTTAAAAAATGTGACTGCATAGGCAGACAAGGAAAGAAGCTTATAAATCATTATAGACCATTCTTTCATTTTATAAGCTAGGAAAGTGGTTGAGGTCATTCTGAATTGCCAAAGTCACACATCAAGATTCTGGTGAGTTTAAATGTGGGTCACAGGTTCTCTGAGTCTTGACACTTAATAGCTGCCTGACTTTTGCAATTGGCCTAACCCAAGATTGTTTCCTCATCTAGTGTAGAGGTAGTAATACTGTGCACCTCAGAGGGCTGTGGTAAGGAATGAGTGAGTCAACACTGCAGAATGCTAGATCAGGACATCAGCAAGATGATGGGTAGGATTTTCCAGCACTCATCCCCCAGGGAAATGTCAATTTCAACAATTCACCATGCATGAAATGCCTTCTTAAGAGCTAAGGAAACCAGGTTAGATGTCACAGCACCTGGGCATAGTATAGAAATAAAAGATATATTGAAGAGAGTAGGAAGGGCAGTTGTACCTTTACACCACCCCTCTCAGCCCCAGGCAGCAAGGCATAAAGAGAGACGCCCTCTGGTGGGGGAAAGAGGGAAGTGAGTACAGCATTGCCTCAGACTCCAACCCAGTAAAACCCTACTCCAGGCAGCCCCAGCAGCCCCAGACTGCAGGCTGGTATCTGCAGGTTGATACTCTATACCTATTTGCAGTATAGACAATTGATAGGAGAACATCTGGAAAACACCAAACACTCATGTTTGCTCAAGACTTCATGCCTGCCCATCTTTGCTAGAGGAATAGTAATGGCTTCTGTATCTTTTCTGAACCTGTTGGCTGGAAGCTCTGGGATATGCCATTCCCAGATCTCCAGCTTGGGGAAAGTGTAGACAAGGGCAGGAAAATAATGAGTATGGGAAGCAGTTATGCAGAGGACTTAAACATTGACTCAATTGAACATATCATACAAAGCATGAGGCTGTCCCTCTACCTATACTCTATACTCAATTAAAGCTTTGAGGAAGAGAAACTCAGAATACAGTCCTGCATGAAGAGTGTTTTACCCAGGAGCTGGTTATTACTAGCTGGTGGTCACTCCCACAATATCCTCCCCACCCAAAGCATTCACCATCACACCGCCCTCCAGCTCTGCTGATCTGCCAGAAGACTAGTAATGTGAAAGGATCAGATCAGATGGAGGAAAGCCAAAGAGATCAAGGCCTTCGTGAGCAGCACCATTCTTGACTTTTGTCTCTCTCTGGGCATCAAAACAAATAAACCTTTTACTTAACAAACAAAACTCCCTTCAAGGCAGTGAAGAGTAGTAGAGGCCGTTACTACAAATTTCTTGGGGATGTGGAAGGAGAGGATAACCCTACATGTCTTAAAGCAAAACTTCCTATAAAAATTATTGTCCTGGGCATGGTGGCGCACACCGTAATCCCAGCTATTTGGGAGTCTGAGGCAAGAGGATGGAAAGTTTGAGGCCAACCTAAGCAACTTAGACCCTATCTCAAAATACAAAATTTTAAAAGGGGCTGAGGACATAGCTCAGTGCTACAGCACTTGGCAAACATGTGCGAGGCCCTGGCTTCAGCCCCCGGTACCACTCAAACAACAACAAAAATCCTTCAAACATCTCTTGACCCCAAACTTCGCCTTCATCCAGCATCAGTCTGACTCTTCCTCTTACATTTTCCAATTCAAAATCCCTCTCCACTCAGTTCCCTATTACCAAGCAGATTCTCTTCAGTTTCTCCCCCGCCCCCACCCCCCACCATCTCTGCTCCCATTTGTTTTTTAGTTCAGTTTAGTTTTTTGTGTCTACATCTGCCCCAGTTATCCCTAATAACATTGCAACAAAACAAAAGCCTAATGTTCAACCTATGCAAACTCCCTCCAAATATGAGATGGGAGTGATTACAAAGCTATTTTTGTATTCTATATGATGCCAGTGTTCCTTGATCTCAAGGAATATCCCATGGCACACAATATCACATCCTCAAGAGATTCTGAAAATATTCTACAATCAGGATCTCAGAGGTCAAAACATCTTCCACTCAGTAAGCCAGGAAGTGTGTGTTGTTATTATTGTATTTCACTCCTCCCAACAATGCTATAAGATAGGTAGAAATGACAAAATTGATGCTCAAAGGATAAGAAATGTGACCAAATTTACCCAGATAGAAATCGCAAAACATAATTTAACCCCCCTACAAAAACAGTTTGAATAACTCTCCACACATGAAAATATCTTCACAAGAACTGAGGAAACCAAGTGAGATTTTATAGCACCTGGATATAACTCAGAAATAAGAAAAAGACACAATGAAGAAGATAAAAAGTCAGTTTACATTACCCATGTCACCCCTTTCCCCAGCCCCAAGCAGCACAGCATGGAGATACCTCTTCTTGGGGAAAAGAATGGGAAGTGAGCACCAAGACTTTGCTTCCAACCACAGCACTAGCACCCATGGAACCAGTGGAGCCCAGGTCTGCCCCCTTTGGACTCAAGATGGCTCCACAGATCCCGGCTGCAGACATGATATGTCATCAGCCCCTTGGATTTAGGTACCAGACCCACCTCAGCACCTGGACAGCCCCCACAGACTCAAGACCCACCCTAGCACCAGGTCAGGCCCTGTGGATTCAGGCTTCAGGCCAGCCCCCATGGATACAGGCTCTGGCCCTCTTGCAGACCCATGCTCCAAAGCTCCCAACATGAATACAACCAACAAGTCCACCCAGTGGATCCAGGATCCAGGCCCCACCCACAGATCCAGGTTCTAGGGCAGGCTGACTGCTGACAGAGATCAAGCTAGACTGCCTGAGGACTCCAGCAGCAAGCTTGTTCATTCGCCATACCAGATGGCCTGCCCAGAAGTTCTGGATGGGCTGACTGGTGAAGGGCTTTCCCAAATAAAGTCAGTCTGCAAAGACTGGGATAGATTTCTACTTCTTCAAATGTGAGACACCAGTGCATGGCCACAAAGATCAAAAACAATCAGGAACGCATGTTTTCAAAGGAAACCTTTTTCCAGTTCAAAATCCCTCTCTACTAGTTTCCTATTGCCAAGCTGATTCATGCAGGAATAGCCTGACATAATACAAAATAATTGTTTTAAAATAATTCAGTGAACTTCAGAAAAATCAGAAAAAAAATTTTCAGGAAAATGACTAATGATTAATTTAACAGATTGAAAATGTATACACATATGTAAATATTAAAAAAATGAAAGAGGGGATTCAAGACAGCTAAACAGAGACACCCAACACTTTCTAACACTCACTTCCTCCTCCACAAAGAAGAGCCCAAATAATAGGTGTATAGCTGCATTTTTAGGGTAAGTAACCATGGAAGAACACCAAAAATCAGGAAGAAAGAAACCAGAACCTTATAAGATTCAGAGGCTTGAGATAATGGCATACTAAGAGAAGCAAAATACCTTGGTATTTATTTGCCATCTTGTCTCCACAACTGGGGAAGGGGAGTCTCCCCTTTGTAGGGTAAGTGTGAAAGAGAATCTGAGAAACTCTTATCAGTGTGGATGCTGGCAATCTTAGCTACTAGAGTTTCACCTCACCGGCCTGCAGCCCACTTAGATAAATAACCTGAAATCTGCACAGTAGCCTTGATTTGAAAAAGAATTTCCCAACATCTCCCAGCCAGTGAGCTGCCAGGATCATCTTAAGAAGTGAGGTACTGGGCCACTCTAGGGGTCAGAAACACTTTCACGTTCCTGTCTCTGGGATACAGACATTCCACTGCACTGCCTTTAGAGTTGTTGCCTCATGAGCCCAATTTGGCTCAGCAGAGTGAGTGTCATCTAAGTCCACTGGGTGACCTCCATTGTAGGGAACAGGTGTTGCAACACAGAGGAACATGGAGGGTGCCCCCCTTGAGCCAGAAGATTAGAGAGCTTGTCCTCTGAGACTTGGAGTGTGGCCAGCAGCACATGGACTCATACCAGGGCCAAGACCCAAAGCAGAAACTCACACAGTTCCCACCACTTCTTCCCCTTGCATTGGTGCTCAGAGACTTGCTTCTGACAGGGCAAGGAGGGAATGCTACAGTCACTGCTGCTGCCCTGCCCACAGCATTGTGCTGAGGGAGCCTTAAGCAACTTCATGGCTCTAGCCGTTTCCTGATCCCCAGGCACACAGAGCAAAGAGGGTCCCGAGAGGAACTTTGCCTGGCTTTGGCCAAGGTCCTGCAATCACTATCACTGATATGGCAGAGATAAATAGGACAGTTCCTGCTGCCACCTGACTTATTGGATTCCCACTAATGGTCACCCAAAACCTCGTCTAACTATGCACTGCTGTCAGAACTGGGTGTCAGCACCACAGAGCAGGTGCTGTG